TGATTTTTTGTTCTTTGATGCCTGCTACCTGAGCCCTTCGACACCTGATGATCGCACAGGCTTGTGTGCTTCTTCCATATGGGCTTTGTTGCTTCTGAGCTAAATGGCTGCTTGTTTATCTTCAAGCCTTTAAGACCCCAGACACTATATCTTTTGATAGCCGGGCACCATCAGCTTTCTTAGATCACAACTCTTACAGGGTAGCCTGACAGCTTCCCTAGGTTATCAACAATAGGGAGAATACTAACTTCCAGTTTATACCTAACATTAGAGAAGAGCAAAAAAAGAGGGTAGCATGCAGAATCACTTTGGTGAGATTTTTATTTATCTAAGCAGAAGGAAAGTAAGAATGTAGGTTATTTCCAGAGCCAAATGTTGATGAGTTGTATGTACTGCAACATAGAGAAAGTGCACATTTTCCCACTGGACATTAAGCAAATTGCCTCCTGCCTATTAGCTTGAAAAATCCACAGTTGAGATTTGGAGTAAGGCCTGGTGGTTAGGGTAAATGTCCTATCTCTGTTAGGCAACTTTCTCTGTGGGATTGAATTTTGCTGTAACGAATAGAGGATGGAGTGAAATATTTGACTCCAAAGGTCCTTTCTTCATGTCATCAGCCTCTAACACTCATTCAGTATCGTCTGTATGCCTGGTTGGAAGCTAAATTTCTTACCTATATTATTGTCCAATTTAGTCCTCATGAGACAAGAAAGGGTGCTCTGATTAGTCTTCTCTTTCCTGAACATATGGGAGGACGTGTCCTGACCTGAAGTCCCACAGGAAATAAACAAAGGAGATGGGATGGTGACACTGAGCCTAAAACACTCCCAGTAAATAGAGCGGCAAGTTCTACAGTGGCTGTCTAGAGGGCACAGACTGGAGAAATGGGCATGTTCCCCCCACAACACAGGGACACAGATTGTATGACGAGGGGATGTCACCATGAAGCCATGCCATACACCATGTGCCCTGTGATGTATGGACACTGTGCCAGCAGTGCATCAAGGACAGGGTGGTATGTCTGCATGAGAACCTGGCTGTACAGCACTCATGGCATTTCAGCATTACCTCATGCCTTAGTGATGCAGGTCTGACAACTGATTGGACAGCAGATACTGAGTGATTGCAGCACTGTGACTGCCCACTATAAAGTATGTGAAGTGGTGTGGCTGGCACCAAGGGCTCTCCAAATAGCCTAAGGACTGCCATGTATGGATGCTAATTCCTGGTGCAAGGCATGCTTTTTCCTCATATTCCAATGTTAATAAACGAGTCAATACCCTAATTGATGCAGAACTCTATTGTTCTCTGTTTGCTTTTATAGTTAGACCTTTAACTGTTATTAGCTGCTGCCAAGTCAGTTTTAATTGATGATGACCCCATGTGCGACACACACAACACACACACACACACACACACACACACACACACACACATTCTCTCTTCCCAGTCCTGACATGGCTCCACAAAGTCGCAGTCAAGGCATCAACACTTTCTTGTGTGAGAGCAGCCGTTGCTTTCTGACTTGAGCTCAGATCCAACCTGGGTGGGCCAGAGCCAGGCAGCCAGCACCCAAGTGAGGAAGCAGCCTCTGTCACCGCTATTGTTGTATTTAATAAAGAAAAGAAATAAAGCGCTGTGTTAATTAAGTCACGGCCCATGTGAAGTCAGCTGTAACCAGCCGTTACCAGCAGGAAAGCATATCCTGAACCACCTAAGGTGAGCCAGGCTGGTTTTGTGTAAGACATATGCTTACAGCTGCAGAGAGCTATGCGCTCTGGATCGGTGTCAGCCAGAGTCAGCAGGAGGGTGCCAGGGAGTGCCAGGGAGGTGGACCTACAGTGCCTGTGTCCATACAGGAGAATGATCACTGGGCCTCTTTATTAGTGTCCCATCACACCAATTTGCCTTGTAGGTCAGTATCCCACCTTCTTGTTCCCACCACATTATATGCGGCAGGGACACCAGGGTTGCAGCCTAGTCTGCACTGAAAATTGAGGACAGTTGTCACATGATAGAGATCCTAGAGAGGAAAATAATTAGACAGCATTGGAGGCAGGGTCTAAAAGGCTTAGAACAGTGCCTTGATGAGAATTCTTCAGGGTTTCTAAGGTTGTGACTAAAAATATAAATATTCTAGAGATTCCATTAATTGTATTAGTCAAGTCACGGGTGGTAGAATCAGAAGAGTTGCTGGTGGTGGGTTTGAATCACTGACCTTGTAGTTAGCAACTCAGTGCATAACTCACTACACCACCAGAGTTCCTGTAGACAACTGCATAGCTTTCCCAAATACACTGTTGTATCAAGAGCTTTTAACATCCTATTAATTAGGATGTTCAACAAATAAACAAACAAACATCAGAACACCATTGAGTCACATTGACTCTTCATGATTCTATCCAATGTTGTAATATTTAAGAAAACAAATTTCCTCAACCTTATTCCATGAATGAGCTCCCTCCCTGTTCAGTTAACAGCGGAGCACTTGAACCCTGTGCCACAAGAGCTCCTTAACATAGGATGTCAGGGCTTCACTCCACTTCAGATCATGCTGATGGAGAGATCTTGGTCCAGTAATTCTGCCTCATCACTTGGTTTTCTTTAAATGGCTAGCTGTAATTTTGATGTTGTTTTACTTCTTTTGTTTTGACCTTTCTTACACAGGCACTCTGTAAAACTTAAAGATGCCTCTCTCTTTGCCTCTCCATTTCCTTCATCGGCCCTCTCTTCTTTTTCTCCTTCCTTTCGTTACTAAGAGTCAAGTCCTAGCGGGCACTCATTGCGGGCAGCCATCAGAGTTACGTCAATAGACTTAATTATAAGTAGCAAAGTAACTCAACTTTTTCTTCTAGGGAATTTGGCATTTTTCTTTTTATCGCGGAAGGGAGAAAACCCATTAATTTTGAAACAAATGTATGCAAATACATTTATTAATACAGGAAATAGGAAAATCAGTTATTGCTTCCTTTATAAATAATACAGGCTTAAGTTTTAAAGATATTACTTTTGCTAAAATGCATTAGAAGCTGTGAAAAAATAACATTTTTCTTTGTGGTAATATCTTTAACCAGATTTGTAGCACTAACAATATTTCCTATGTATATATTATTTTTATTTAATACAGCTAATCTTTTTATTACCATATCATATTGTTTCTCAGGAGATTACCATCAGTGCTCATAAAAGCTGCAAAAGGAGACGGGACAATGAGAAGGCATCCATCTCCAGCAGATATAATGCTTCATCTGTAGATTAAATACACAAAGCTCTTAATATGCTTCAGTGAGTGCCGGTTAGGTACATATTTATTTAGACCCTTCCCCCATTTGGCTTACATTTCTATTTGAATATGCTGAAGGACAACATCACCTACTTTAAACCAATAGCAAAGCAACCTTGGGGGAAAAAACAAATCTTTAAGCATCCCACGTACTGTGTTTTGTTGAGGCACCAGAGGTAATGGAATCCCTCTACAGAGAATGACTCAAAGATCTCAGTTGATCTTCAGTCTCCCCAGAAAAACTACTAATCGGGCCTTGACCAATGGGAACCCCAAGTGTGTGGCATCTTTTCCTTCTCAGAAAAAACAAAATAGTCTGCTGCTATATCGATCTGTATCTGAACTCAATTCAACTTGTGGTTCACGCTGTAAACTGGCACAGGACAAAGCCTGGCCTTGGAGTTGCCCCCAAAATTTGATCTTAGGTATGTCATTTGCTTCTGTGACCACTAAACGTCTAGGAGCTTGTCTTCTGCAAAATGGAAATGCCAATTCCTTCCTAATTCAACTGCTGCCAGGATTAACAGTGATTGTTAACGTGTGTTTTAAACAACATGCCAGAGAGCAATTGCGATAAGTACATTATATCTTTATGAAAATCTGACATTTTGTATCAATGACACAGGAATGGATGAATGAACAAATGCCCACACAAGTGATCCCTGTGTAACCAGAGGACTCAAGCCCTTGCTGATGATCATGCTAGCCCTTTCTCCTTACAGGGTGGCAGCTTCGATGTGGCAGATAGAATGTTCCACAGTGTGAAAAACGCATGGGAGTCTGCCTCCAGGGAGAACATGAGTGACGTCAGGGAACTGACACCAGAGTTCTTCTACTTGCCTGAGTTCCTAATGAATTGTAATGCAGTGGAGTTAGGTAAGCGGAGTTCCTACATGAGACCTGAATGCAGTGGGTTCAGTGCCGCCTCTCCTTTATCCTGTCCCTGCTAATCTTATCAAATTCTTTGTTGAGCAAGTAAGCAGCCAAAAAAAAAAAAATCACTATCTACCCATTGATTTGGACTCTAGTGACAGTATAGGACAGAATAGAACTGTCCCTTTGAGACTTTAAATTTCTATGGGGGCAGGCAGCCTGATCTTTTTTGAACGGAGAGACTGGTGGGTTCACACCACTGACCTTGTGGTTAGCTTGTGTAAACCATTGTGCTACCAGGGCTTCCTCAAAGAATCAAGGGTGGCTGATGTGAGGTCATCACTGGGAGGCAGCACCAGAATGGAGGGTCAGAGCTGTGGAAGGACACCAGCTACCAGGAGTGCTCTGAACCAAAGTACCCCAGTGAATGTTCTGCATTTCAAAGCGAGCCATGCTTCCATAGCACTTAAAAAAAAAGGAACAAACCAACCCCCAAAAGTCACAGTGGACCATTCTAGGATAAACTGTGGTTGAAGCCTGGGGCAGGGGTTGGACACGCTCTCTACCCAGAGGCAGGAAGGAGGCAGAAGTTGGCACTGGCCAGGGAGGGAATAAGCATTAGTCCTTAGCATTTTTTCCTCTGTAATATTTTCCTTCAAATATTACATAGGGGCATGTTCCCTGAGGCAGCCATAGCGCACTGCTGCTATACAAGGCGTTCAGTCCTGGACATGTAGAATGCTTAAAACAGACGTATGGAAGCTAGGGGAATCAGAACCCAGGGTTTGGGTCAGGACTGGCCTCATCAGTGTCCAAATCTTCTGACACCTCATGTGAATCAATGATGAGAACCAGACAAGTGTGAAAGTCAGTCATCACAACATGAAGACCAGGGAAAGCAGTCATTCAGGAACTCGGCAGCCAAGAGGAGGGGCAGTTCCCCAGCCTGCTGGATCAGGAAAGGCGCCGGATACTGAAGAGGATCACTGTGGGCTCAGTTTTTATGGGGTTTATGAGTATAAATGGGGAAGAAAAGCACATAAAGAAACATATAAGTAAATAATCAAATTAAGCTTGCACAAAAAGTCAAATAAGCAAACATAAAATTCCTCATGTTAATGAAAGAGATGCTGGTTTCTGTATTTGTAAGTAATCTAGCAAAGACCCAGGTGGCTTGGTGCTGAAGCACTCAGCTGCTGGCTGGAGGGTTGGCGATTTGAATCCACTAGCCACTCCACTGGCGCAAGATGCAGTAGTCTGATTTCATAAAGATGTACAGCCTTGAAAACCCAACGGGGACATTTTCCTCTGTCTTCCAGGGTCACTGTGCGTGAGAATCGGCCCAATGGCAGTGGGGTTGCTTGTTTCAAGTTCCTATTCCCTCCCTCATTTACTTACTCAACAGACTTAAACGGCCCAAATACTCAGATGAGAAGCCTCGTGTACTGCGAGGAAGACATACAGTGATGATACTCTGCTATGAAAGGAAAATGTGTTACTGAAATAGGCGACAAAGAACTAGTATTTCCTGGGAAGCAAGGAGGAGCACTTGAAGGAGACAAAGACATGAAGGCCAAGTGGGGATTCTCAGTAAATGAGAGGGGAAGACACTAATGACCGAAGAGTCCTGAGCAGTGTGACCTGAGCAGAACATACTTCCCACTTGACCTGTGTCGTCAAAAGCCCTGGACAGCAGTGTTTCCATCTGCTAATTTCCGGCCAATTCAGACTTCCATTCATCCAACGCTCCACTATTTCTCTTTCTACTGCAGGCTGCATGCAGGATGGGACAGTGCTAGGGGATGTACAACTCCCTCCCTGGGCTGATGGAGATCCTCGGAAATTCATCAGCCTTCACAGACAGGTAAGTCAAGCTAGGCCACTCTGAAACCCCTTCCTCAAATGAGAGGACTGAGATATAAACTTCAGCTTCCTCTTAATTCCACGGAGGCTTTCTGTCTATGTAACAGGGTTAGAAGAAACAATCCCAGGCTCTTATGTCTGTAGAGCATAGAGAAGGGGCTGGAGTCTGTCCTCCAGGTTGGCAGAAAACATTTGGGTTTGGGCTCTTTCAAGAGTTCTAGTTGGGTTTGCTCTTGTACCAATTTGTTGTGGGAATCACTGGGAGATAGAAAGAACATGAAATTCTTCTTAGATTCCCTAGAGCAGTGGTTCTCAATCTTCCTAATGCTGTGACCCTTCAATACAGTTCCTCATGTTGTGGTGACACACACACACACACACCAACCATAAAATTATTTTTTGTTTGTTTGTTTGTTTAAATCATTTTATTAGGGGCTCATACAACTCTTATCACAGTCCATACATACATCAGTTGGGTAAAGCACATTTGTACATTCGTTGCCCTCATCATTCTCAAAACATTTGCTCTTCACTTAAGCCCCTGGCATCCCTAAAATTATTTTCATTGTTACTTCATAACTGTAATTTTGCTACTGTTATGAACCGGGCAACCCCAGTGAAAGGGTCATTTGACCCCCAAAGGGGTCACGACCCACAGGTTGAGAACCGCTGCCCTAGAGGGAAAATCATTGACTTACCAAACACTATACACGGTTATTTAAGGTTGCCAAAGGTATGCTAAAGAGTGGTTATAGGGCCTAAGAGTCTCCTCCTGGCAATATCCTTTGCTAGGACTGAAAAGGATTTGGCTTATTACCAGAAAAGCTCATGTAGATATAGACTAGAAGCTATTTTATGATGTTTATCCTGGATCAAATACGTGGATTAGGATAGCCACTTGAAAATATGTTTGGCATCATTTGTAATCAACATAACATGAAATAAAACTAGGAGATATTGAGGGTATTTCAATTTTATAACATTTTCTTCTTTTTTATACTCATTATTATTAGCACCCATTCCCCCCCCACCTCCCCTGCCATAACACTAGTAACTATTAATCTAATTACTGTCTCTATAGATTTACCTATGCTGTACTTCATACACAGAAGAACACAAGAACAAAACAAAATAACAAAATAGAGACCTCAATTAAAACGAAATCAGAAAATATTTTTAAAAATAGAGCATATTTAAAATGGGTCAAAAGGGAGAACAAATGATAAGGTGTTAAATTTTAACCTAACTATATCTGCATTAATTTACTTTCCAATGCACTCTATCTGGTAGCATGGTTATTCAAAACTCTATTCAAAAGTCAGAGGGAAATAATCAGAGGGTTCGTTCATATGGACACCTGTAAATAGACTTTGAACTTTCTCTGTCATCCATAGCCTTCTTTAAACTGAATGTTCAGAATGTTCCCCTCCTCCTATTTGTATTTTATTATGTACAATCCTTGAATCACACAGACTGGGGTGCTCTTTCTGTGGGGATTTAGCTAACTTGGATGACTGCTTTATTTTAAGACAAAGGCTGTAAATATTTACAAGCGCAGAAAGCCTAACATTTCTCCTCCAGACTGGCTGAGGGGTGCATTCTACTGATCATGCGGGTGGCAGCAGCCTAACATGTCATCTGCTACACCTCCAGGGCACCTTTTAAAATGAAATTATGTCTCAAAAAAGAATATGGGGGGCGGGGGTGGAGCCTGGAAGTCTAAATAGTGACAAGAAATCTGTGCCCTTTCCTCTGTCCACCTCTCTTGGCAAGGAGAAAAGTCATCTTAATTGATCATTTAGAACAGCAGCCATTCCACCACACACCTCACCCCCATCCACCCCTGTGGTTTTGAGTACTCAGGCCAAGATCAACGTGACCTGCCAGCAACAACAGCCTTACTTCAACATATTCTCAGAAAGACTCGTCCCAGGCCGAGTCAATCTATCCAGGGCTCATTATAGGCCTGACTGCAGGTACCTAGGAGCTAGCTAAGGAAATATATAATCAAACAACCCTCACATTATTGGAAGACCAAAACCAAGAAGAATGGTGCACAGGAAGATTGCCGCTCCGGTGAGGCACAGTGAAAGGCGTGATTCTTCCGAGTCTGCCATGCAATCAGAAGAACAGCTAAGAGTCTTCTGGAGAGATTCACATAAAATATTTTGTGTTAGCTACCACTACAAAAATATGTCATGTGGGAAAGGGAACATCACAGACCAGCCATCTGTCTTTCACTGGACCATTTTCCTACAACTTTTTAAGAAAGCACATTTCTCATATCCTCAAGCTCATTCTCCCTACTTGTCTTTAAAGCCACTTTGGCCAAATAGCTCAGAGAAACACAGGTGGCCTATCTTTCCCGACCCACTTATAAAGCTGAATGCTCTCCTCGATATCACGAAGGCTCATTTAAAGCCGTCACATATTTTCCCTTAGGAATCCTGTACGGACACAGGTTTCTCAATAAAGAAAGTTCACGTTCTTTCCTTTCCATAGATGATAAAGGAAGGGTCCTATACCCGTTGTTAATAATTTATAGGTACTCGAGTGAAGGAAAGGAACCCTAGTAGCATAATGGATTATGCACTGGGTTGCTAACACAAAGTCAGCAGTTCAAAACCACCAGCCACTCCCAGGGGAAAAGATGAAGCTTTTTCCTCTCATAAAGATTTACAGCCTTGAAAACCTACAAGGTCAATTCTGTGTTCTTCAGGGTTGCTGTGAGTAAGAACTGACTTGATGGCAGTGGACTTGGATTACAGTGAAGTAAGGTGTCCCTGAGTGGTACATGCAAAAGAGTTGTAACTATAAGTTCATGAATAGAAGAAAGGCCTACTTCTTCTAAAAAACTAGTCATTGAAATTCTATGGAAAATGATTATATTCTGGTGCACGGGGTCACTGTGCGTTAGAATTGATTCGATGACAATTGGCTTGGTATTTGGTTTGGGAGAAGTCAGATGTGTTTAGGGAGGTTGGATGTTCCCTGAGAGGTTCTGAGACCTGGAGGTTGGGAGCGGGAAATTTACTTAAAAAATACTCCCAACTCCAGTCATAAAGTGGTTTAATTATACATGACAGCAAAAGCACCCATGACTGAAAGAAAATACACACATAAAACGCCAATGCCCAAGACCCAACTCTCTTCAGTACAGTATTAACTGTACAGACTTTTGTAAAGCATCTCATCGGCTGTTTATTTTGGAAAGATAGTGAAACCTCAGAGAAAGTCAATGGAAGAGGGCAGGATAGGGCAGGAAATCTGCCTTGGCTGATTTTTTCTTTTTCTTTTTTGCTAACACAAAACAATAAAGAGGAAAAATAATAAAATAACGGGAAAAATAATTGTTTGCACCAAATGCGCACACCACTGTCTCCACCTAAACCTATAGTGGTTTCCCCATTTTGTAGATGCAGACACTGAGGATAGAAGTATTAAGAATTTGAGGTCAGTGGGATGACAGCTCAGAGGACCGGGACTGACTAGGTGAGCTGGGGCTGAAGGCTAAAGAAGAGAATAGAAACGCATTCAGATTTCAATGTTTTAAAAATCAAGGTATTTTTAACCCTAGGATCCGGGGACAGCCACAGCACAGCCCTCTGGTAGGTTGTGGGACCTCAGCTAAATAAGGGTAGTTGAGCTATTCAAATGTTGTTGCTTTAATAGAATGTTTGGGAAACCTGGATTAACGGAACCAAGTAAAGAGCAGGAATGCTCATGCATTTGTCTGTGCTAATAACTCACTCACAGCCAAACCACCGATGCAGAAAGTATGCAGTGAAATCTCTAACAATCCTTCTAGCTAGATCAGGGTCACTAAGCCATGATCCACAAGTCAAATCCAACCTGCTGCCTGTTTTTGTACATCCCATGAGCTAACAATGGTTTTCACTTTTTAAAATTGCTGGGGGAGGGGGAAGAGGGTGGTGTTAAAAATAATACTCATATTTCATAACATGTTAATATTACATGAAATTCACATTTTGTTTTACATAAATAAAGTTAGAACATGACCATTAAAAAAAAAGAAGAAACGTGAGCAGCTATGTTTGGATTCAAAGGAGGCAATGACTTTAGAGCTTCCACTGCACTCAGTCTCACTTCCTCATGTGCTCCAGTCCAGATCGCCTCTCTCCATACGCCAGGGCTCATGAGAGATCCCCGGGTTAATTTTCAATGTAGTCATTCAGGTTATGCATCACTCGCAGGCCAGCACAATATAGCTATTATGAATTTCAGGGTTAATCCGTGAAGTGAATGAACAAAGGTGGTAGGAACAGGCAGATCGGCTTTGCCATTTGCTGGAAGCAGGAATCGGGATGGGCCTCTCTCTATTGATTAGGCTATCTCCTCCTGGAACCCAACTGCATGCAGGGACCACTACTTTTCTTGCCTGCACATCTCAGTATCTAAAGGGTATTCTCCCTGCAGTATGTGTGGAGGGAGCCTGACCCTGGGGTAGGCCTAGCATTTTCATGTCTTTTGGGTCTTGGTTCCAGGCTCTGGAAAGTGACTTTGTCAGCTCCAACCTCCACCATTGGATAGACCTCATTTTCGGATATAAGCAGCAAGGCTCAGCGGCAGTGGAGGCGGTGAACACCTTCCACCCCTACTTCTATGGTGACAAGCTGGACCTCAGCAGCACCCGAGATCCGCTGATCAAGAGCACAATCTTGGGCTTTATCAGCAGCTTCGGACAGGTGCCCAAACAGGTATGCCATGTCACTTATCTTCTTTGTCAGGAAGTTTGTGAAGCATGAACGTGGAGAGGGGATAAATATTATCTCCTTGAAGAAGAGCAAGGAAGAAAACTGGAGAGGAAAACAGTCTTTATTTTTCTATGCCTTAAATACTAGAACTGAACCTTCACTGCCACTTGATGATGAAGATGACTAATGGATGGTAATAATGAAAGCTACATCCGTCTGTGACATATTTGATATGTGTTTTCTACATGGTATTTAATTCTTATTTTTAAAACAGTTTTATTGGCACTTCATCCACATAATTCTTTTTGTATATCTATTACACCGAGTTGATGTAAATATCCAATGAGTGAAGACACTGTAAGTGCCGGAAATATGTTAAAACCAGTCACTTCTAACTCATGGCAGCTCCGTGTATGTTGGAGTAGAACTGTGCTCTGTAGAGCACAGTCAGTAGTTGCTTTTTTGGAAGTAGATTGCCAGGGCTTTCTTCTGAGTTGCCTACGGATAGACTGGAACTTCCAGCCTTTCAGTTAGCAGCCAAGTGCTCTAACCATTTTTACCATCCAATGTCTCTGAAATATTATTAACACTCAAAAATTATTAAAGATTAGTGTGAATAATTTACTGACTCCTCTCAAGAACTCTGTATAGGAGTTATTTTGTTTTTACAAATCAGAAAATTGAGGCTCAGAAAAGCTCAATAACATCCCCAGAATCATACAATTACCAAGTGACAGGGGCAGAGTTCCAGTCCTGTCTGGCTGGCTCCAAAGCCTCAACTATATTGTCACAGGTTTGAGGATATCTACTAGCCA